GGGGAACTCCCTTCTCGTCAGTGCAGAGGCAGAAAAGGACCTTGGAATCATTATTGATGCCAAAATGAACATGGGCCGGCAGTGTGGGGACGCGGTCAGGAAGGCCAACAGCACCTTGTCATGCATCCACAGATGCATCTCAAGCAGGTCCAAGGAGGTGATCCTCCCCCTCTATGCAGCACTGGTCAGGCCACAGTTGGAGTACTGCGTCCAGTTCTGGGCGCCGCACTTCAGGAGGGATGTGGACAACATGGAGCGGGTCCAGAGGAGGGCCACCCGCATGATCAGGGCAGGGCAGGCCCTACGAGGAGAGCCTACGGGACCTGAACCTGTTCAGCCTCCACAAGAGAAGACTGAGGGGGGATCTAGTGGCCTGTTACAAACTAGTCAGAGGGGACCAGCAGGCATTGGGAGAGTCCCTGTTCCCCCCAGCACTACCAGGAGTGACTAGAAATAACAGTCACAAGCTGACAGAGGGTAGATTCAGACTAGACATCAGGAGGCGCTACTTCACTGTCAGGGCGGCTAGGATCTGGAACCAACTTCCAAGAGAAGTGGTGCTGGCTCCTACCCTGGGGGTCTTTAAGAGGAGGCTGGATGAACACCTTGCTGGGGTCGTTTGATACCAGTACTTTTTCTTGCCATGGCAGGGGGTTGGACTTGATCTGCTCAGGTCCCTTCCGACCCTATCTACTGTGAAACTATGAAACTACTATGAAACTGAAATGGAGGGGAAGCCATCTGTGAGACATTGCTTTATTAAGTAGTTGCTCCTACCCCAAGAAAAAGGTAGGAGAGCCCTTGTTTAATGAGAACTTTGAAAAATATCCTTTAATTGCGTCCTCCTCAGAGTGGCCTCTGCACCATTTCATTCTCATAGGTCCAATAATCAGACAATCACATGGTCCATTAGATTAGTGTTTCACAACCTGTGGGTTGAGACCCAAAAGTGGGTTGCAAAAATATATGAAAGGGTCATGAACAAACTTAAAAAATGGATCAACAGAATTTAAAAATGGATTCTCCTTTAAAGGAGAAAAATGTGGGAAGCCGTGGCTTTTCCCTTGCAAGCTGGCAGAGTTCCAGTCTGTGAGGGGCTGCTTGGGGGGCCCCTCCCCCACACACTGGGGGGGCTGGGGCCTGGGGGCAGCAGTCAGGAGTGAGGGGCACTGGGTTGGCACTGGATACTGATGTTTACAAATGGGTCCTGGTACAAAAAAGGTTGAGAACCACTGCATTATATAACATTACACCAAAAATCTGAGACCTAACATATGCTGTCTGGAATGCTGAAATCTAATTATTCTTCAGAATAGTCAAAGTAAAACAAAGCAGGGAGTGAGGCAAGCTCATTTTGAGGGGTCTTGGGATGAAGCATAGAGATTTACTCAAGTCCTGCTTGGCATCAACTGCACATAAAATGATCTGTTTTCACCTTGCACAACAAGTCCACCTAATTCTCTTCCTTTCTATCACTATTATGGCAAGCTTCTTATACAGTTTCCAAGTTAACAACTGCTTCCAGAAAAGTCTGAGCACTGTCTAGGAAGTTTTATAAAAACAAGCAGCTGGAACCTCTCAAGAACTTCATGCTATCAAGGAATTTAATTTGCAATTACAGGGAAAAATATAAGCTCATTTATAAAAGCAGATGTTGCAACTCAACAGCAGCAAGTCACAGAAGAATATGAGAGCAGCAACACTTGCCAACAGTTCCAAACTGATGCCTATCATTTTTTTTTAAAGTTTTTATCACCCACTTATTAACTTTGCATCAGGCATCCAGTAACAAAGTTCAAAACCAAGATAACCTCTATAAAGACTAGATCCTGCAAGGTGCCAAATGTTTCTGTCTCTGTGCAGCAAATGCCGTAATTGCTTCGCTTCAAGCATGTGACTAATCCCTTTAAAGACAATGGGACTACTGCTTATGCATTAAAGTTAATCACATGCTTACAAGCTTTGCAGTGCTTCAGGGCTGTGCGTGTCTGAACGCTACGAGAATCTCTTTCCAAAGAAAAGTACAATGGAGCAGCTTTGAATTTGGGAGCAGGGTCATCACTCTCAGAACTTTTCATGCTGGCTAAGATTAGTCATCAAAGCCTTAGGTGTAGGTATACTGACCCTCTTCATGTTAGTTTACTCATTGTATTAACAAATTTAGCTATGTGCAGTATGACTGCTTGTGGTCATAAGACTGACATTTAAAATCAGAAAACAATAATGGACAGTAATTTTACATATTAGCAACTGTGCATGACACCTGATGGTCTTTACAGTGGGGATGACGTGTTGGAAAGATACCCTGAAAAAGTTTTCAGTAATCAATATGAAGAATTTTATAATTGTGCATAATTTATAACAACCTGCTACTTAAATAGCTTCCCAATAAAAGAAAGAAGTTTAATCTGTTAAAATGACACAGAGAGATTAACCAAAATATACCCTTAAAGGGGTTAAAGAGGAAAAGTTAAAAAAATTCTGTGCTGTGAACTAGTCCCTTTGATACAATACTCAACATAGTAGGCTGTTATAGATATTCTATATATCTATATATAAAATATTCTAACTGATATTTAGAAAGTCAGTTGTTGCTATTATGCTTTATGTTTGCTTTGTGCATTTTTCCCTGCTCAGAGAATGAAAATCAATTTAGTTAAGTTTCACTTCCAGTTTCACAGAAGGGCTTAGATTTCCTTCACTGGAGAAGATGTATTTATTTAAAAACACTTCCTTGTTTGAAAAATGGTATAGGCATATATTTTACCACAGTTTTTTCTTTCTGTTTTTTTTTTTTTTTTTTAACTTAAATTACCATCTTGGGCTAAAGTAAAATGACAGTGGCACTTTAGTGGTAAGGCACATTTAAGGAGAACAGGGAGAGGAGACAGAAAACCAATAAAAATACAGAAGGCAAATTAATGTTAATTCCAAGAAGTTCCAGATTTTCTTGGCACCTTCTACTAGCTTTGGAAATGGGTTGGAGGAGTTGTCTTCATAGTTTTCAGCACACAGCACAGGGAGAATGTTTCATTTTGGTGCATCAGAGAGTTGTTAATCAGATACCATTTATTTTATTAACTTCATACAACAGGGCAGAAAGATTGGCAAAAGACCACTTACAATTGTGATTTATTGGTGTTAGGTCCTGAATTGGCCATGCTGAGAACACCACGTCCTGTATGTGACAGATTTGGCTTGAATTCATCTTTAAAAGGTTTCCCCCAATAAGACTCTCCTCCTAAAAATAAAAGGGGGAAAAAATCTCATGTTTTTTCTTCATTAGATTCCACCTACCCTTTGTATTCCTTCCTGGCATCCCACTTTTTGGTGGCACGGCCACTAAGCTTATGGCTTCTGATATCTCCGTACATAAAACGTGTGTGTTCCTTTCCCACCAGCAGGCTGATACCTGAGCATTACCTGAAATCATGTTTGCAACTGGCAACACAATACTCTGCCCCTATACTGCTATTATCAGCTGTGACAGATGTGACTGTTTGCCAGCTGCCTTATATACTTTGACTGTCATGGATTAAATTTTTTGTTGCCCATCACATCATAACCTCCTTGAGACATTAAATCTTAATCTACCTTCCTGACAGAAGTAAATGCACAGAGCAGAAAATTACCAGTTTAACTGCACTCTGGGCATGTGGGTAATGCCATGAGTAAAACAAAGGATGAGATTTGGATATTTTTCATTATTGCACTAAATATATATGGTATCAATGAAGTACACAAGCCCTATATTGAACTAAGAGCTCAACAGCTGAGCTCCTAGTTAGATAACCTGGCTTAGTCACCATATGGTGATGTTGCTATGGTGCCATGCTTTAGTACTTCCTTTTGGAAAAACGAAAGCATGGCGAAGTACAGGTGGTTACTGCGCTGTGCACATGGCACAATGTTAGATTTTGCCACTATGGCAATGTAGCAGCATGCTATACCGAGGGAGCACGCCATTATGGAGATGTAGCTGGCTATCACATGTAGATCCATGTGATTACTACATCGCTGTAGCACACTGTACAGCAATGCAGTACATCACTATGTCACTGTAGGGTGACTGTAGACACACCCTATTTATCCAAATCAACAGCCAGTAATTAGACACTCTAGACCAGATATCCACCAGCTCTTGATGGAAGGAGGGTTTGCAAGACCTCTCTCTCTCTCTCTCTGGCTGTCATTTCTTTACATTATTTACAACACATCTGACATTTTCACTTTCCTCCAGGATCACCCCTAACAAGAAAAAAAAATGCTGAGATGGATGAGTCATTTCCATAGTTTTAAGTTCAACTCCATAATCTTGTTTGGCAAACTGCAAAAAATATTTCACCTTACCATGGTATTAAAAGGAAAGCAAACACAAAAATATTGGAACAGTCAAAGAGGCTGCTACATGTGCAGAACTTGTTTGAAAATCCTCTGGAGTAACAGTATCACTAGCGAAGCAGTAGAACAGTAAAGGGTCTGCAATACTTAACGGCTATGTAGCCATGTAACACAGGAAAGCAATTTCCAATACCCAATGGACAGAAGAGCAGTGAGTACCTGCTGAGGAGGAGGGAAATGACCTGCTCTCAAAACCCACAGAGAAGACTGCAAGCCTATTAAAATGACTTTATAACATTGTCTAAAACCTGTGAATTACAGGTAGACAGCTGTAAATGAAGTTGCATGTGGAACTAAGTAAATGTGAAATCTCGAGAAATTGACTCACTTAAGGACCCAATTAGTCTTGTTCAAAAGACCTGCTAATAAAGCTGAATGGTACCAGCTCCACAATTTGACAAGAGAAGGCAATGAGAATAACACCATAGGGAGTTCCTGTAATCAGGAATAGTTCTGATTACATCCCTGATTGCTAGCTACTGAATATTTTAAGATCAACTAAGCCACATCCATATGATTTTATATGGAAGTTTCTCACCATTATACAAAAGGAATGAAAGGCTCAAGAAGAAGATACCACAATGGCCAGTCTTGATACTCAAGGCCAAAACAGATGTGGCCAACTTTACCTAAGATAGCATGTAGAAGGGAAGAGGAAACTCGCTAGCAAACTAGGATACTGGCCCTCTAGGGGGCTACCTGGGGGATGAGATGTATGTTGGAAAGAAATAACGAAAATGGTCTGGGAGCTGAAATATGGTTAGGTAGGGAGAATCTGTAAGTGTGTGCACTAGTTACCTGCTTGTCTTTCTGACGCCTGAAAATTATCTTGTATGAGGTGTATATTGTAACAACAGGCCATTAAGGGTGGCTGTAGTAGAAGGAACGCCTACCACAGAAAAAACAGAAACAAGCAAGCAGCCATCAAGACAGGCATCTAGGAGGTACTGCTAAAAAGCTACTGGTCCCTTCTTTCTTGGCCTGTCTATATGGCCATACTGGACATAGGGGCTGCTTCCATGTTTGTAAGCAGCTAGAGGGAGAACAGAAGATGGGCGAGGGCCACATGTTAAGATACAAGCAGACAGCTTCACAGTAGAGACGGGGTGCTGAAAAGAGACCTGGCTAGCAGTATAGTATGTGGAATGATTTTACTTTCTCTTTTAAAAAAACAACCAACCAACTAACCAAAAAAAGGAACTATTCTGCTTAATTTAAAAATAGCAAGGATGCACTCTTCAGCAACTCCTGTTAACCTCTGGAATAGTTCCAACCTTTCACTGTCTGCCTGAAGCAGCAACAAAGGCAGGCAGGTAAAAGGACAGAAAATAAAACACTCTTAGGGAAAACTAGCCTCTCTTTCTCCCTCTCTTTCTGAAGAAAAACAGAGATCCACTACAAAGAGACCCATTCTAGTACCACACACACAAGAGGCCTAATGAGGTCTAATGGTTAAAGCAAAGGATTGGGGAGTTATGACACTGTTTTATGTCTAACTCTGCCACTGGCTCACTGTATACACATTTGGAAAAGGCATTCAGGGTGTCCCCATCTACCCACCCAAGGTACTCCTATTACTCATGTACCAGTGTATCTGAGTACCTAACAGCCTCACTGCTGGGAGGTATGGCGATGTGGTCATCTTCACTGTACAGAAGGGGAAATGAAGCACAGGGTTAGATTCAAATAAGGACATAGGAACTTAAGTTTCACTTAAGATGCAGCTTAAGTCCATCCAAGCAATCCCCAAAACTTCTGCCTATCCACTTTGGCCCCTATGTTTTGTCACAAAAATCTATTTAACTGCCTAAACTTCAGCTCCCGGGTGAGCTCTGTCTCCACCTCTGTGGGGCTCCCAGCACTCCAGCTGGGTGCCCCACTGAGAGGCACCAAGTGAGATAGCAAGTGACTGGACAGGTGGTGAGGGGAGAGGGGAGCTCCTGCCTGCAGGATGGGGGGTGGGTGTGAGGGTTTGTGGGTGAGTACCCACAAACACACCTACACCCCCTCACAAATCCCCTACACCACCCCCCTCCCCCGCACGATATATAAAAGTAAGGCTTTATGTTGAGCTATTATGCTATCGCCTTTATATACACTATGCAAACACATGTAAATCAGGACAAAAATATTATTTGAAATAAAATTAAAACGTTATAGTAGATGTTTGATTTTTAGTATACGATTTGTTTTTTTCTGGTTCCAAGATGGCACCCCCCCGGGAGTATTTCTGGGGTCTAGGGGAGGGACTTCCAGTGTCAAAGGTCAGGGTTGGGGAGACTTCCTGTCCCAAGATGGCGATCAGGGGGCAGGGCTACCCTTGCAGCCCTCAGCAGCTTACCAGAAGTTGTTAAATGGCCCTCCAGCCAAAATTATTGCCCACCCTTGGCTTAGAGAATGCTTAATACATTCTGGGTGCATCTACACATGTCATTAAGGTGACATGATAAACTCCAGTGCAGTATGTACCAGAGTTACCTGCTCCCAGGTGCAGTATCTGTACCCGTGCCTGGGACTGCAGCAGTTTGAACTGGGGTGGAGCAGCCTCAGGCAAGCAGGGGAACTGGGGGGTCAGCCCCAGGCTCCAGGTGGCAGCATCGGGTGGTGGAGGGGCTGGCTGGGACACAAGGTTGCTAAAATGCAGGGCTAGCTGGCAGGTATGCCCCGCACTTTAGCACCCTCATGCCCCAGCCAGCTCCTGTCACCATCTACATGTGTGTTTCAGCACCTCATTACTCCAGCGTAGGATAATACTGTCCCCAACAGTACTATCCTATGGCAGAGTTAATTAATTTACTGAGCCCTAATACTGGTGCATGCGTAGACAGTGATGCTTTACAGTAGAGCTAATCAGTCAACTCCGCAGTAAAGTGCACGTGTTGATGCACCCACTAACAGCATTATAATTCAGGATCTCTTGTGGTAGGAGTGAACTTCCAGGCCTCTAGTTCCTGTTACTAGTGCTCTAATACCGTTTATCCAATAGCTTTTTAATGAAAACCTCATAGGCAGTTCAAAAGTGGGGACCAGAACCCAGAATTCCCTCTCCCACAAATACACTTTGCACAACTTTATAAAAACGAAAACTGAGAAACCCATTGGGATGGTTAAAACCTTCCTCAACATCCAAAGTTAATGGTAGGTAGAAGCCACATCTTTAATAACAGCTTTGCTGCAAACCTGAAAAAGAGTCTCTTCTATGAAAAGGATGAGGTGAAATGGCAAAGACTGCATGCTACTCACAGGGATAAATTAAACTGCATTTATCATTTCAATATGTATTTGGGATGGCAGCTGTAGGTGAAGCATAACTAGCTATTCAAGATCATGACCACAGCTAGTGCCGATGGTGACAAGATGAAGAGATGCAAATTGACAAGGCACTAGCAAGTATAAAGATAAATATATTTGCAGGCTGCATTTTATACTTGAGTTGGCTCATTCTTGGGTGGATAGGACGGTTTTTCCTTCTCCTAAGAGATTATGTTTATGGAATGTATAAATGCTATATAGGCTCATGTACAACACCTTTACAAGGAACTGCAGAGATGCACCTCAAGTACCTAGAAGATTTCTGAAAGTATAATGCTCTAAAAGCCAGGTGTGGGCTGGGAATCATCACCCATGACAGTTGCGATTTTAAATCAATCTTTTTTTGGCTCAAAAATTGCAAAGCACTGGTAAGGAAGTGGGAGGGCTTTGATTCACAAAAACGATGGCTCACTGTCATAGCTTTCTTCTCGTCACTTAGAAGAATAAGGCAAATGATAACAACATCTGATGCTTCCGGACTCCTGAAGTATTTTGCTTCATTCTACCATGTGAGGAGAGGTAAGTGCT